GAGTCCCGCATCGGGCTCCCTGCTCGGCAGGGAGTCTGCTTCTCCCTCTGACCCTCCCCCCTCTCATGTGCGCTCTCTCTCTCATTCTCTCTCTCAAATAAATAAATAAAATCTTTAAAAAAAAAAAAAAGATGAACCTGTTTCCGTTGCCATGGCAACATGAGTCCCTACTCGGAGCCAGACATTGTGCTAAGAACTTTATCTGTGTTCACTGATTTCTCCCAGTGCCGTCCAGAGCTGGGACTAGGGCACCAAAAACTCCATAACCAAGAAATACTTGAATTGGCAAACTATGGCCCCCAGGTCAGCCACTTTGTTGTTGTGAAGTAGTATTAGAAGTTGGCCTGGGAATTGAGGCCAGTTATGCAGGGGCAGAATTGGATCCTAGTCTCATGTAAAATTGCATTAAAATATTGACCTTGATCAGTGAGATTTGGGGTACCACTTTCTTTTGGCACCTGAGGGGACTGCCTCACCCACCCCACCCTGATCCCTGCCTCTGGTCCAAATGCAAAAACCGGAAGCATAAAGGTGAAGAAACTTCTAGAACAGACTTGGGTTTCAGCCCCTGGCAGGGTAGCTCCAGAGTCCATGTGAACAAAATGCTAGGCTGGGTCTCAGACAAAAATTTTATTAAAGTAGTAGATTGAGCAGGGTGATGTGGACAATCCCGAAGAAGCCTTTTGACGTAAGTTAATGGGGTTGAGGAGGCAGGATGTGAGGAAGCCCCAACCTCTGGCAGTACTATCTGTCCAGCATCCAACCAGAGACTCGGATTCTCTGTTTGCTCCTCTAAATGTGCCGCTTCAGGCATTTGGCTTAATGCTAAAATCAACTGGTGTAAAACGAAACTAAGGTTGGCTTACCTGTTTGCCCGTTTCTTGTTTCTTCAGTTGGGGGAGGGGGGAGGCAGATTAGAAAATAACCAAGAACTAGTCCCGTGACCTTCTGATGTTGGGGAACATGGCTTCTGTCTTCTCCCCCACTCTGGATCTTCCACATGTGGTCCAAGATGGTGCCGCCTTAAGCTCCAACCAGGTGGAAAAGGCCATGCCCCTTCCCCTTAACACGGCCAGGAAGTTGTACGTAAACTCTTGCTCACCTCCCCTGGCTACCTGGCTGGTCCTAGGCCATTGCTATGGTGAAGGGAGCTGGGACATGGTGGCTCTGGAGTAGCCTTTGCCAAGTTAAAACCTGGAAAGAGACGCTAGGTCATGAGTGTTCTCTGCCCCTGAGCAGCAGTGCAGCCTCCTAAAAGTTGGAGACGACTTTCCTAGGAAACACCTGGCTCAGATCCTGAACACCCGGGGTGTTCTATACATGAACACTTCGCTTTTATCAGGGTTTTACTGGGGCTGTCTTTGCCTGCTCTTGATGGATATTGGTCCATGGCATTTGTCCACGGTTTTCTGTCCCTCTAGTCCAGTGAGCTCAACAGTGGCCACAGTCACCTGGGAAGCTCTTAGGTATATGGAACCTATCTTGAGAGACCGCCCTGGGGGGGGGGTGGTATTTTCTGGAATTCTGCAGGTGATTCTGATGTGCAACAGGGGGACAGATGCTCCCATTGAAGGAGCAGGGCTGTCCTCATGGACCTGCCACCTTGCTGTCACAAAGGGCCCTACACTTAATTGCGTGCTCTGCTCTTACCATCCTGAAATTAATTTTTAAACAAAGAGCCCTGTGTTTTCATTTGGCATCAGACCCTGCAAATTATGTAGCTGGTCCTGTGAAGGAAGAAAAAGAATCTGCCTATGAAGGAAACCTGCCTGTGTTGCTGGTCCAGAAGCTGTCGTAACCGTGGTTGGCCAGACAGGGCTCTGCATGGGAGGAACAGGCACGGGGAACCATGGTGTTCAAGCATTCCTCTGCGCCATTCCATTCAGACCTCACGAGGAATGGCATTTGCATTTGTCCTAATAAGGGAACCTATCTTCAGAAAGGTTAATAATACAGCTAGTGCAGGATAGCCAAGCCCAGGTGTACCGGGCTCACATTCCCACATGGTATCTGCAGTCCGGGTCTCCACTCAAGTATGGGGTGTCTTCCCCTGGCAGAGGTCAGGGAATCAGGTGGAACCATTTGAGTTCCAAATGTTAAGGCAGAAAAAGGATAAGCTCTTTCTGCAAGAATGGGGAGGTCTATGGTGCGATTGGGAAAAAAAAAAAAAAACCTTCAGTTATGGGTAGCGGATGATTGCAGAAGTGTCCCTAGGCTGTCCGACCACATGCTGGGGCAAGTATTGCAGGAACGACCGACATGACTTTCTCCCAACATACACTACATAATTGTAGTGTCTGAAGTCAAGAGTGTTAGGATTTGAACCCGTGTGTGAGGCTTGCCGGTGGAAGTCCTTCTAATACCCAATACTGCCGGCTTGGGAGATCTGCCTTAAGGCCTGAGTTCATTTTTTTGAGGCCTGGACCTCTTTCAGTCCAGTGAAATCTATGACGTCCTTCTGAGTGATGTTTAAAGATTTTATTTATTTGCGGGAGGGGGAGAGAACAAGCGAGAACACAAGAGCAGGGAGAAGGAGAAGCAGACTCCCTGCTGAGCATGGAGCCCGAAGTGGGGCTCGATCCCAGGACCCTGGGATCATGACCTGAGCCGAAGGCAGACGCTTAACTGACCGAGCCGCCCAGGCCCCCTGAGTGCTGTTTAAAAGAAGAAAACAATGCATCTGTTTGCAAGGGAAACAATTATATTGA